CACACACACACACACACACACACACACACACACACACATGCATCTTACATATATAATTGTACCCCTCTCCCCCAGTGCCCCCCTCTGCTTTCATCTCACATCTGCTCCATCTCGTTCCTTCCACTCTTCACCCTCTATACCTCCATCTCACAGTCCAACTTTCTACTTCATGTCATACATATGTTTATAGAAATTTTAATCTAGATTCTGCTCGTGAGAAAAAAAATGTGTTGTCTTCCGGAGTCTGGCCTCCTCAGCACACTAAGCTCCAGTTTCATCCTTTTTCTGTGAATGTCCTCACTTCATTCTTCCTTATCCCTGGTGAACATTCCTTCAGTCATTCAGAGGAGTTTCACATCTTGGTTATTGTGAATGGTGCAGCAATAAACAAAGGTGTGGCTCTCTGGCTTAGACTCAGTATAGCTGGATCATACGGTAGTTCTATTTTGAAATTTATTGGGAAGAACCTCCTTGCTGATACTCATGGTGGCTGCATCAGTTTACACTCCAATCGGCAGTGGATAAAGGTTCATCTTTCCCTGTGTCTTCACCAGCACTTGTTACTGTTTATTTTCTTGAAGACAGCCATTCTTGATGGGCTGAAAGAGAATACCAAAGCCCTTTTTGCTTGTAATTCTCCAATGGCTGGTGTACTAGTTGGGGCTCTCTAGAGGAACAGGACTGATAAACAAGATAAAACAGAGGGGGTATTTATTAGAATGGCTTGCAGACTGTGGTCCAGCTAGTCCAACAATGGTTGTCTACCAACAGGAGGTCCAAGAATGCAGTGGTTGTTCAGTCCATAAAACTGGATCTCCCAGCTGGTCTTCAGTATACACTGGAATCCCGAAGAAGTTAGGTTCTCATGCCAGTGAAGGAATGAACTGACCAGTGAGTGTAAAAACAAGCATCCAAAGAGAGCAAGCTTTATCTTCCATGTCCTTTATTTAGGCTGCCAGCAGAAGGTGTGTCCCAGATAAAAGGTGGACCTTCCCACCTCAAAAGGTCTGGATTAATAGTTTATATTCTTACCTCAACAGATCTGGATTGGAAGTGGGTCTTCCCACTTCAAATAGTAAATTAAGAAAAGATCCTTCCCAGGTGAATCCAGCCCCTTGGATTTCAGTTAATTCCAGATGTAGTCAAGTTGACAACCAAGAAAAACCATCAGAATCTACCCCTCATCAACCTAACACGCTATTGTAGCTCCTATGTCATGCTTGATTTCCAAATTAAAAAATAACCAGGTCATAATTGCACCTAACATGATATAACTATCCTACATGCAATTGCAAATACATTTCATATTTAACCTGGTCATAATTATATCTAACATTATATAACTATGTCTTTTACAACCACAAATACATTATAAATTTAGAGCAGGTGGCAATGTCCCTTCAGGGACATTCTTTTAATATCTCAAACTTAAATATGATGAACTGATATTCTCTTAATTGATGCTACATCACATGATAAAGAAATAGAGGAAAGAAAGCACAAATATTTGTACAAACACATTCTTAACAAAATATGACAGAAACACTCTTGTCAATTATAATCCTTATTACTGCAACTGGCCACGTGGCCTTAGCTGGCGTTTATAACAACTTTCCTCTACTGCTCATTTCCTCCAGGGCTGCGATACTGTTTTTTTTTTTCCCCTGTTCACTATTTTCCCGGCAGAGGCGATTCTAAAGTCTTCCATTTAGCCATTTCAACCATAGTAGCCCTCACACCACAGGTCAGGGAACCGATGAGAGAATCCTGCCAACTTCTAAGTATATCTATCCCAATTATGTGTTCTGGGGCTGAGAAAATAACCACATGCTGAGTTCAGGGACCCTCTGGACCTACTGTGTGTAGGACTTGAGCCAAACCTCCATCAGCACCTGACCTACATAAGCCCCTGCTTTAACTGGAGGGCCACAATGTGTCTTGGGGCCTCCTGGAATCTGTGACAATTCAGAACCAACTTCCAACAGACCCCAGAAAGTCTGATTGTTTCCTTTCTCCCAGTGTACAGTTACCCTTGTACAAGGTCATAGGTCCCTCTGGGGAAGAACTGGAGAAAGGCTAACAGGAAAATCCTCAGGTATTTTATCGAAGTCTTTCCTCAGGGGAACCTAGTTGGACCTTTGTTCTGGGGTTCTGGATCTGCAAACTGGCTCAAGTCTGGAAATTGGTACACAGACCAAAAGTCCCTATTGCCACAATCCAATGTAGTGTTTCTTTGAGAATCTTTCCACCTATACAGATTAAACAAAAATGCCCTGAAACACCATGATTGAATAGCCAGTACCAAAGGTCCATACATAACATTATAAAATTCTCGTTGTCTGTCTGCCTATCACAGTAACTGTGGTCACTTGGCCTTTGGCGGCTGTGTCCTCCACCTGGCCCTGCTTACCTTGGGGCCCATTGTGTCTATTTAATCCAGCTGAGCAACAGTGTCTCCAGCACTGTCACAAGGTCTGAAAAGGGTGAGAACAAGACTCTTCAGATGTGCTGGTGGCCCCTCACATATATAATTAGCGAAGGCGTGTCTTCTGGGCCTTCCTGTTGTGGAGGGGTAGACCCAGTACCCACTCTAACATTGTAATTTCCCCAGGCCTTAAGATCCCTTCATCAGCACAGCCAAGGGCCATCAGGCATCTCTATTCTTTTCAGGAGGCCATCTTTGACGAACGCTTCAGCCAACCATTCACACAAACTTTTGGCATCCTTTTTTTTAAAGCAGTGTGAGCTTCACATTAAACCTAGAATCTTCTGTCAGAGGTGCCACATCAATAAACAACCTGATCCAGTTTTACATTCCTTCCACCATTGTCCCACACGCTTAAAATCCATCCCCACACATTTTCCCCAGACTTCCGCTTGAATGAATTAGCAAACTCATTAAGCTCTTGAGTAGTGTAGTGCACCTCCTCATGAACTACGCTTTCTATCTTTACTCTAGAAACCTGCTTAGCCTTAAGCCTGGTTATAGAGGTCTAGAGGCAACTATTGGTGAGTCCTAAGGCACATCCGTATTGTCTTGCCTAGTATTTCCTTCAGAGAAAAATCACTGAATGAAGTTAGAGCAAAAAAAACTATCTTGCAGGAGGCATACCAAAAGTATTCGGGAAAAAATTGATCAAGGACAGATGTGCTGGAATTCAAGTAATGACGGGTTATTTTAAAAATCACCTCCTAGTAAGTTCCTTAAAAGAAAATTCTGAACTTTTAATGTCACATATAGTATACACATGTAGGGGACATTGGCTAAAACCTCCTTTAGAGAAATCAATGACAGTCTGTCCTATTTGGACCTTTAAGAGAAATGAAGTTGATCTATTTTCTTCAGTGATTTATATTACATTGAGTTTAGCGCTGTCCGTGGAAGACTGGAATTAGAGAAAAGACATAACTTTTTATTCTAGTTCTGCATGTGTGGTGAGGCAGGGAAGGGGATGGGGGAGGTTGAAACAAGGTCTCATGTAGCCGGGCTAGCTTCCGATTCCCTCCAAAGTCACTGAGGCTCACCGTAACTTTCTGTCTCTCTTGTGATGGGATTACAGTCCACCACCACCATGCCTTTCTGGCCTGTTTCATGTATGGAATACACCGAAAGATTTCCAGAGGCTGAAGGTGGCTTGTTCTTAACCCAGAACTATGCCAATTATCAATATTCTGTAAGGCTAAGAAACTGAAAATCTTCCTAGGAGGGAACATTCCCCTGCTCCTGGCACTGGCTTTGGGCTTTCCCTCTCCTAGTGTGGAATCCTGGGGGTTCCAGTTTCTTGGGATCCTCTGTTTCAGTAGGTTGCCTCTCTGCCAGGCCAGTTATGTTTAGAACACTCACCGTATCTTTGATTTTTTTTTTTATAGCACAATCTCATTTTTTCAAGAAGGTTTACTTATTTTAAGTGTATGGGCGTTTTACTTGTGTGTACTGTCGGTTTACCTACCATATGCCTGCAGAAGCCAGAAGAGGGCACTGGATCCCCTGAAACTGGAGTTGCAGATGGTTGTGGGCTGCTGCTGCGTAGGTGCTAGGAACTGAATGGGGGTCCTCTGTTTTGGGGGTCACAGGGACCCCAAAAGACCATCACGGAGACCGAATCCCACATGTAATAGCAAAGAGCCTTTATTTCAAGCTCTGGAGCTTGGTCCCTCTGTCTGTCCAACACAATGGTGAGAGCAGAGATCCCTGAGCTCAGATGGGGTGTTTTTTTTGTGGGTTTTTTTTTTTTTTTAATCAAAGCAGAGGTTGGGGTGAGGGGATTTCCAGGGCTCAGGACCCTGAATGGCTGACAATTGTCTAGAGGTGATCTGTAAAACAAAAATAGATGTGTACTAGACTCAAGGACATCTGGCCACCTTATCTAATGGTTGGAATGTTTGGGATGTCAGGTACTTCCTCACCCCTGGGTGGACCCCTGGGTGGTATCAGCTTAAGACTTTTCCTGGATCTGGGTGTCGCCTGCCAGGAAGCCTGTCACAGAAGCTGTGTCTGGGCCCCTAAGCCTGTCATGGCTGCTGTGAGGTCAAGCTGTTTGGTGCCCTCCACGCGGTGAGTGCTCTTAACCATCTCTCTGGCTCCAAACCTCTTAAAGAGACACTGTATTAATAATAGTAAGCTTTTATAACTCTTTGGGTTTTTTTGTAAAGGTGCTGTGTTCGTGAGCTTAGACACAGCAGTTGTTTAAGCCTCGCCCTTTCCAATTTGTTGTTGCTTTTTGTTTTTTCATAAAAGGAAGGAGAGGAAGGGAGGAAAGAAAAGAAACTGGCTTTTATTTAACTGGGGCTTGCTGGGAAGGACCTGCCCTTCCTTAGCTGCCCGCCTTGGTCCACGCAGAGCCAAGAAGACAGCAGGCCAGTGAGCGCCCCCTGGAGGCCATCGGGCGGCTGCACAGCTGACCGCGGGAGGGCGGGACCACTGCCGACCCCGCCCCTGCCCCGACCCCGCCCCCGGCCGGCCCCGCCCCCGCCACCCTGGCCTCCGCTTTCCCGCCGCGGGCGCCTGCGCCATTTCCGCCGCTCCGGCCGCGATGTCGCCGAGACCCTGGTGGCTGGTGCTCTGGCTGCCGCCCCTGGCCACGCTGCCCGCGGGCGCGGTGCGCGAGGAGGAGGCGGCGATGTCAGGTAACCCTGGCTCCGGGCGGGGGGGCCTCCCTTCCAGGCGTCAGGGTCACACGTGGGCGCGGCCAGGCCCCGCCCCTGTCTGCGAGCATCCGGATGCTTCGGGTTTTTGATTTGTGCAGAATCCCGCCGCCGGGCTCCCGCTCAGCACAGCTGGCCCCAGTTTCTGTCCGAAACCTTAGTTTATCCGTCTGCACAGATCTCATGAAACTCCAAACTAGAGGAGGATAAAAGCTGCAGAATGAAACCGTAATTCTGTCCCCGATTGGCTGCTGTGACCTGCGTGGCTGATGCCCCAGCCTTGAACCCGGGTCCTCGGGAGCAGCTGGGAGCTGCTCGGACTGTTTGGGGTGCTCAAGACCCTGGCTGAGAAAGTTGTAGCTGCAAAACTCAAGCAATTCTCCACGAGCTTAACGTTTATTTTTACCGTTCCGTGGCGTCCGTTAAAAGGTCGCTTGTTCGCATTGTCCATGGCATCCTTGGTCACCATGGACGCAAGGGAGGCTGTCAGGTGTGGACTTTTAATTGGATACTCTCCCCACACCAAGGAAGTCAGTCAGTAGGGTGTCTAAGACCGAAAGAGAGAACGGATGTCCAGTAAGCAGTTACGAGCTTCTGACAACGCCGCCTTGCCCCCCAGTCGTCCTTGAGGTTTTTGTACAGACCAGGCTGGCCTCGAATGTGTAACAGTCCTGCCTCCCAAGCGAAGGGTTATAGGGCTGTCACACTGGGCTCAGATTTGGTATTACCTAGGGGTAAAGGTCCCCGGTGGTGTTAAAGACACACCAGGACTTTCCTGCGTGGGAGGCGTCAGACACCCACGAGGTGATAAAACTCAAGTCCACAGCTGAGAAAAATGGCGACTTCTGTCTTGCCATTCTAGATATTCTTTATGCACGTAGGAGGTGACCATTGTCTGGAGTGTTCAGTGACACTGTGAGAACACCCCCCCCCCCCCCCAGTGGCTAGGCCCAAGAGCGGCTACTGAAAAAGCTGTGGTTTTACAGGAACCCTGGGAGGAGACAGCGAGGCAGTAAATGCCCTCACCCACAGGAAGTGTGTTTTTAAAAAAGCACCCCAAATGGCTGCCTGAACCCTCAAATGGTACTGAACCTCACATAGACTTCTCCTGTATCTACATACCTGTCAGCAAATTTAATTATAAATCAGGTAGAATAGGAGAAAGATAATTATTAGAAATGCAGTTATAACCAGATGTTGTGGGAAAAGCTATTTGAACTTACTTATTATTACTTTGAGAAGTTTTCATTTAATATTTTCAGACCTTGGTTGAACACCAAAAGCTGGAGCTTTAGCAAGTGAAACTGAGAACAATGGAAGACAATTGGTCCTTCCCACCATCAAGTAGGAGCTGTCCAAAGCATGGAGGCTTGCTTTTGATTATGCCTAAGGCCCTTTCAGCTCTGAGGTCCTGCCTTGAGCACATACCCACAGCCATGTCATGGCATCCACTCTGAGGCCAGCCTCTGTCACCCTGTTTGTAGAAAAGGCAGACACCTGTCATGGAAGACAGAGGTAGTTGTCTGAGGAAGAGAAATGTCAGGTCAAGCATGACTCTTCATTTGAAACCAATCAGGTCCATAGTAACTGCTGCCCCTCAGCTGGGGTTCCAGAAATGGCTTCCCAGGCTCCTACCTCCAACAAGGGGTCGTTTCACATTTACAGCTTGAAATTCTTCTGTGGCAAGGGAGAATGTCTACTGAAGTTAGAATCAGACTGTGTATGGGGTAGGATGTGCTCATTTCAGTTCCGTTCCCATGCCATTGGAGGACTAAAAACCAGGATTTATATTCAGGTGAAAAGCAACAGATGAGTTGGTACAGAGAGGCATTATTATGTAGCTTACACCTTTGAAAAATGTGAGTTTACCAAAAATACCGAGCAGATCCTCACTTCATCTGGAACCACGTGAGCCCCCACAAGGACAGTGTGTTGGCTTTTCGCATTTTCATTTTCCCTGCTTCTCCCCGTCCCGGAAGAACCAAGCCTGGGTTTGATGAACAGGACGGCAGCGTGCTGATGTGTCTGCTCTGTTTCTGTTCTGGTTTCATTAGGGGGTCGTTTTTTCCCGTGTGCAGCCTGTGGAAGGCTAGGTTCCCAGGAGGAATGCTGATGAATTATTTTTTTCACATGGGAAGTGGTTTAACATCTGCCGGGGCTTGAGAAGTGTTTGCATTTTTCATTTTTAGAAGAACCTATAAGTAGATTTAAGTACGACCTGCTCCTAACGTTTTGACTGAATATTTCTGCCGTATGTCTGACTAAACTCTTGAAGTTAAATATACTTAGACATTAAGGGAGCTAATAAACAAGAACAGCATTAAAGGGGCCATTTGCTTCTGACTTATGAACAAAGCAGGTGGTGTGAGGCTGTTTTTTCAGATGTGTGCAGTGATGCTCCCTTGCCCCCAGGGACTTCTACACCCCGAGCAGAAGAATGAAGCTACAGAGCTCTGAGCTCCATGGGTACCACTCCCTCCTCACTGAAGCAGTGTGTGAATTAGGACAGCTAGAGATTCACAGTGACTAGTAATACAACAATACTGACAATACACTTGAATACACTCAGCAGTTACTTGAAGCTTGTGAATTGTTTATTTCTGGAAATTTCTATTTAATTCTTTTGGATCGTGGTTGACCCCAGGTAGCTGAGACAGTAGAAAGTGAAGCCGCAGAAGCGGGGACCACTGTAGTCCCACACTACATGAGCTGAATATTACAGGCTTCGTGATACTTAAAGCCAACTGAGACATCTCCTTCATTGGTTCACATAAACCCAACTTGAGACCTTTGGTAATGTGATTAATTCCATCTGCCTGTTCCTTAATCTGTTGAAGACTGAGGGGAAATCCAGAACACATTCTAACCAGGAAGTCCCTTATATAGCAGACGCTGAGGTCAAAACCAAGATTCGTGCCTCCTGTGTTTGGAGGAGTAAGGAAGATGGTCCTCAGCCAGCGGCTGTTCGGGGGGCCAGCCTCACCCTCTAGTTCAGGGTACACTGGTGACTTCACACTTGGCTTCCTTGCTGCATGGGCTCTGGAGTGGATGGCATGGTACAGGCTGGACACAGAGTGACACTGTGCGGGAGGTTTTAAGGGGAGGCAGGGTGCACCTCTTGTTGCTGGCAATTCTTCACAGAAACTGGTTGTGTTTTCACTGGGTTATGTTTGCTCAGGTAATCTTCTAATCCTCTCAGATTGCAACACACATGCAAATGACAGGTACTTGAATGCTGCAGGATTCAGTAACTCCATAGAGTAAGATAAGAAGTGCATGTGTGAGATGCTGCAGGATTCAGTAACTCCATAGAGAGAGTAAGATAAGAAGTGCATGTGTGAGATCTGCAGGATTCAGTAACTCCATAGAGTAAGATAAGATGCATGTGTGAGATCTGCAGGATTCAGTAACTCCATAGAGAGTAAGATAAGAAGTGCATGTGTGAGATGAAGACTGTAGCCAGCAGGAAGTAGGTGAGCGTAGTTGGGTGTGCATATTCAGACATGGCTCAGAGAAGGCCTTCCAGAGAAGGTGGCATCAGGGCAAACATACCAGCTATTGACAGGTGTAAGCCCTGCCAGGATCTGGTGGGTTGCAGTCCAGGGAGACCTGAGGCAGGAGGAAGCCGGTACTTTGAGAAGGGTTGGTGGACTGTTACGGGTGGAGCCCTCAAGCAAGAGAGAGATAGAGGAAAAGGAAGCCATAGAGGTACACGAGCCTTTCAGAAAGAGTAGATGTTTTCATGGTGTTAGCAGAAGTGATTAGAGGAAGTAATGGGCCCTGAGTGATGCTTTATTTATAAAAACCCTATATGCTTTATTGAAAGAAAGGTGGAGGAATCATGAGGTTAGTTCTGGAAGTAGGAGACCAACCAGAAGGCTGTTGCAGTAATCTTAAGTACAAAATGAATATTGCTTGCATAATAAAGCATGTGCTCCCACATCCATGCTATGGCACTGTGCTTGCATACATGGTCCTACTCTTAAGAGCTACAGGTATCCAGTGATTTAGAAGACAGCCTTGGGACCCAGTGGAAAGCCTTCATGATGGTAGCCTTTGTTTACAAGTCCGTCCTCACAGGAGATAATCTGTAGACCACGGACACAAAGCTTTCTGTGGGAACTAATTCAGCCCTTAAATAGTGGGGCTCACTAAGAGAGGCTACAGGGAGAACCCTTGTAGGTGTCTCTAAGAACCCCCCACGCCCCACCCCGGAGCATGAAGCACCCCCGGTGACAAAATGCCGGACCGTGAATGAGCATTTGTACAAAGTTCCGGGACACCAGGGCTGTGAACACGCGACCCCATGCCCTTCACCTTCCCTGCTGGGACGTCCTCTTTTCCAGTGATAAATGAATTCCTTATTAAGGATTCACCGTAGAAGGTTTTCAGTTCTAGCTGCCCAATTTAGCTCTGGTTCCTGTTCAGAGACCTTGCAGGAGGCAGAGAGCAGTGACGTGGGAAGGCCAGGCCTGAGACCTTCCATTCCATCCGCTGGCTTCCAAGGTGTGCTGCTGTTTTCTCACAGTTGCTCAAGTACTTTCCTAGTTTTACCTCACATTCTTTGACCTCCTTCTTTTCTATAGCTAATTGCCAGCGTTAGACATCCTAAGACTGCTCCTTCGGGCTGCTGCCCTTGGCCTTGAGCTGTGTGCATCTCAGTTGTACCCACGAGGGCCTCCACCTTGGCTGTCTTACGTGTTCATGGCACTGGCTCTACTGTCTTCTTCGGGGTCTTATGTATAAGACGTTTTTAATTTTTGGTGTCCTGTGCTTAGCAGAGTCTTGCAAGTGTCCTCTTACTGCTTGGGAACCTTGCTCTTGACATAGATTCTTGTATTTTTAGCTCAGGCACCATTGATGAGTTTAAAAGCACATGCATTTCATCACTAAGCTAAGAGGAAAAGTGAAGGGATTCATTAGTCACAATAGAATATCCTGGGTCATTAGATAACCAAGCTGTAACTTTGGTGCCACTGTTTTAGGAAGTGAGACTGTTCCTGTCCTCACTTTAGCCTGTCACAAAGGTCATTTCAGCCAAGGCAGCTACCTGTTGAGCTTATTCAGCATTATTCTCCATATATATATGTGGTATAATGATCAACTAGTAGCTACTGGTTACCTAGTCCTTGCCCAACTTGGGTATAACAGTTTGTTCTAACCTCATTTCAGGTTTGTCTACAGTTTTCCTCAGCTGTACTTGGAATAGGCAAAGGACTTATTTCCCTGGGTACCCACAAGTACTCCTTGCTCCTGTTTCCTATTCTTGAGAAGATTTCCTGTTTGACACACTGTCTTGGACTCCAGAAAACTTACTTAGTTCAAATTCAAGCACAGCAGAAGAAAACGAAGCCTGTTTTTTAACTCTTTTGTAGCATTATCACATGGATCTGCACTAGAGGACCCGTCTCCCTCAGACTGCATTGCTAAATGCTCCGTTAATGTTACTTGTGCACACACTAATACTTATATGTCAGTATTCAACTCTAGCCAAAGATCTTCTTGGCTATAGAACTGTCTATCTTCTTTAGAACCAATGAAAACTGACTGTATGTCCATCTGTCCAGAGTTGAACTCGTCTCCCATTCTTCTCACAAACCTACCTCTACATCAGCACTTCTGATCTGGGTGAATGCTCACCATCTCTCCATCCACCAGAAACCTTCACATCTTCATCTCCTTCATCCACTGACTCTCCAAAATGTGTTGACTTCTCTCCCCAAGAGCTCTTAAATCTGTTCTTTCTCCTTCCTCAGTTCATACCCTAAGTAATTGGGTCCTCTCCTTGCTATGGGGCCTGGAGGTGATCGATGCCTCCCCCTGTTGAGGGTGTCTCTGCCTGGTAAGTAGTGACTGTCCTGCCCAGAGCTGACTACAGTTGAGTTCAGCCCTTTTCAATGGCATCTGCTTCCTGCCTCATCTTTGATACTTACCTGAAGTCACATTGTGCTCTGCGTTCAGAGTGAAGTACAGATCCTTATGTAGAAATGGCCATTGTTTACCTCCAGCTGAGGTGTCCAGATGGCTCCTTGTGTCTGTCCTTGCTTCCTCGTCCCTGAGTTGAACCAACATGACGTCACTCATGTAGTAACGCTCACGTTTGTTATCTCTCAGGCCTGAAACTGTCATTGCTTGTAACTTACTCTTGAGTCATCTGCTCGTATTTCTTTTCTACGAAGCTTCCCTTAACTCTTGCCATCTACTCTAGGACCAAAGACACGCTGTTCTCGGTGCATGTATGATGCTCCTATGCAACCAAGAGTGTTGACTCTGGGTGTGGTACTGCTGTTCTTGGTGCATGTGTGATGCTCATATGTGATCTAAGAGTGTTGATGCTGGGTGTGACATTTTTAGACAGACACTTGCTAAATTAGGAAGAGTGAAGGACTCTAATCACCATGTACAAGAATTTTTGGTAATAGAATTCTAAAAACTATGACAATCTCCCTTTGCACACATTTTTAAAAAATAATTAAATACTTAGGAAACCCATTTATTTTATTTTTTATCTTTCAGTTCCAAGATGTAAATCTCTGAAGGAAATGGACTTAATTAAAACTTCTGTGTCAGACTGTTACTGCTACAATCAAAATTCACAAATAGAGTGGATATATGTGTGGTCAACTGTGCAGGTTAGGTCTACTTTTATATCATGTCTTAAAAATGTGGGACTAAAATGCACCACTCTGGGATTTAAAAATCTGCCTTGTATGACATATAGCTGATGTATCAGGATGAAAGCTAACGTGAGTGGCAGGCATATGGTGGCTTAAGGAGGTGTCACGTGGGGAGGACATTGATTCCTCTTTATATCTGCCCAGGTCTTCCCCTGACCATTCCTAATGAATATATTATCTAAGTCAGTGGTTCTCGACCTGTGGTTCATGACCCCATTGGAGGGGTCAAACAACCCTTTCACGGGGTCACCTAAGACCATCAGAAAGCACGGATATTTACATTTTGATTCATAACAGTAGCAAAATTATAGTTATGAAGTAGCAATGGAAAGAATTTCATGGTTGGGGGTCACCACAACATGAGGAACCAACTATATTAAAGGGTCACGGCACTGGGAAGGTTAAGGGCCACTTCTCTAAGGACACAAAGGACACAAGGAGGCAGTAATAAAAAGTGATGAGAGAACTCGCTGAGAATGTGACATTGCAGAAAGACTTTGGTAAAGAGAATTGCCAAGGCGGTTGACGGGGAAGAAGTGCTATAGGCTGAGGGATAGTCTGACTTCATCCCAAGACACGATGTCGACTTGTACCCTTGCTAGAGAATAAGATGTTCGAGGCTCATGTGGTTTCTTGTGCCATCATGCCTGGGGCATCTTGTACGTTTTTTCCAGGGAGTTTTTGGGACATGAAAGCTGCAGTAATCCATACGGCACATCCCTGTTCATTCCTTGTGCTCTTCACCAAGTGACCCTGCAACTCCAACACCTCCTCCCCATCTTCATGCTTGGCTAATGACCCTTCTACTTCATTAAAAATGGGGGAAAAAAATCCCCTGAGGAGCAGGAGGTGGGAAGATGGTAAGAGCCAGAGGGGGTGAAAAATGCCGAAGCAACAAAGCTTTCTAGATGTAACAGGACTGATGGACATGAGAACTCACAGACTGCGGCAGCACACACAGGACCTGCACAGGTCTAAGCCAGATGGGGTCCCAGTGCCGAGAGGGGAAGTGGACACAAGCCCCCGTCTCCACCTGGAAGCTATCTCCAGCTGACAGCTGTGCAGAGGAAAAGTTAATTTTCTCTAGTGGAGTCTCACTGGGGAAGGCAGGCCCCTTGTGTAGCAGCAGATGGGCAACACAGAATGAACTCGATGATATTTTTATAGTTTTTTAAACTATTGTCCTTACAGGTCTTTTGCTTATATGTCCTGTTTTCCAATTCTGTGTTTTTATGGGATTTGTGTGTGTGAATTTGTGTCTCTGTACATGTTTCTTTTTTGTTTGTTTCTTTCTTTCTTTTTGAGACAGGGTGTCTCTGTGGTATTTTGGTGCCTGTTCTGGATCTCGCTTTGTAGACCAGGCTGGCCTCGAACTCACAGAAATCCTCCTGATTCTGCCTCCATAGAGCTGGGATTAAAGGTGTGCATCACCACTGCCCGGCTCTATATGTGTTTCTTGTGATTTTTCTTCGGGTACTTTTTTCTGTGTGTTTTTTATTATTATTCATTTATTTTAGATGCCTGTTTATTTTCAAATCAGAGGGAAAAAAGGTGTGGAGGATCTGGGAGAAGTTGGGGGAGGGGAAACCATGATCAAAATATATTGGATGAGAAAAAGTTATTTTCAGTTTAAAAAAAAATGTAAAAAGTAAAGATTGAGGTCAGGTATGGGAAAGAAAAAGAAGAAGTGGGAAAAATCAGAAATGCTTGTGTACTGTCTTTTTTCTCGACATCCACCCACCTCAGCACCTGTAGGCACACGCTCTGCTCCCTGCCTGTGGAGACAAAATGTCTGCCTCGGAGGAGGTGTGTGTGTCTGAGCCCTTGACTGGTGCACTGGGTCAGACCCACCCTTGCCTGCTCAAGTCTATCCCATAACACTTCCCTCTCCACGGGATGATTCCTACAAAGTGACAGTAGTACTTTTCTGTTTGTAAGATGTCACGATTCTGTGGACTCCATTTTTTTGCTATAGCTCTTCTTCATTTTTCTACTTCCCACCATAGTGAAATTCCCTTTAAAGTTGACGTCTGCATCCTGTGCTTCTCCCATTTTCTAAGCACTTTGGCTGGCCAGACTTCCACACCAAGGTCCCTACCACCTCCATGCTGCTAACTTCAGTGTGACCTCAGTATGTGACGCATGGTCTCCAAGTCCCAAGTGCTGGGACTAGAGCCACATGCACTGTCACTCCTACAAAACATCCACTGCCCAAGGCATCTGTAGACTAAACGCGAGTGTGACGTTCCAGCCACTCGGGACCAGAGCCCTGTCCTGTGCATCAGAGCATTCTTTGCTCAGCCATTTCTGAGTTCTTACTCCTTGGCTTGAGCTGAGGGGAAAGTTTTGATTCTGCCTGGATTGATCCGGTCTTGTTTTGTAGGTGACAGTTAGCAGTTCAGACCTGCTCAGATTTGTATATGTCACAGGAAGTCATAATTGCCAGCATCCAGAAACCATCCTATCATTTATCAAATGTGTGACTCATAACTTTTGGGTACCAGAGGAGTCTAAGGAAATGACCATGGCCTTCAGTCCATATGGAGAAACTGTGTGCTTCTCTGTGAAGCCCATCGGGAGGGTGTTCACCTACTCAGTGAGCGTGGACCGAAAGAGTAAGTCTGTTGTCGTTATGGCTGACTGGACTTTCAGTAAGTTGATTTGCTTGTTCTCTCTGCAACTTTATACTCTGACACAAACATCTGTGGTGTTGGTGTCTTTTTATTTTCCAGTTGTGGATTTCCAACTCTTCCTTGTGTTTGTGGCAGGCATCTTCCTCTTCTTTTATGCAAAGACCTTGAGCCAGTAAGTACCCATTTTTATATTTGTAGTGTTCCAATGCAAAGCTGTATGCATTGTTTCTGACTCTGTGCTGAATATTTGCCCACCACCACACATTTGTGGTTCTTCTGGGATTTACAAATGATAGGGCTGAAGGCAGCGTAGAACATCTTTAAAGACAGCGGTAATTGTTTGTAGAGCAGATACATACATGATGCAGAGTATGTTTGCTTACATTAGTTTGCATATGTACACACATATGAACTTGGTACTGCTCTTCTTATTTTGTTGATTACAGAACCCACATCCATCATCACTTGACTCGTTCTCGTGAGTGCCAAGGTTTATGCTCAGGTTTTCTGATGCCAGGGGCTTGCTGTCTTTATTCGGATGTTGGATGTGACAAAGACTTGCTTCTTGGATGCACATGTTGCCCTGATGTTTTGTTTATAAAAACCACTCTCTTGACAATATTTACTTCTTAACCTGCCCAGCCTGCTTCATACCAATATTTCTCCATCATGCCTACCATTGTTCACTTTTGAGCTTTTCCTTAGGGTGTGGTCAGGTGTGTATAGGTTGTCTGCCAGCTTTTCTGACTGGGTAATATATCTGTGGCAAGAAGAGGAAAGCCTAGATGCTCGCAAGCCAGGCTGCTGTCGTAAATCCTCCAGCAGCTGACTCACTTTTTTTTTTTTATTGTTTGTTTGCTTGCTTGCTTCTTTATTCATTTTACATATCAACCACAGATTCCCCCTCTCATCCCTCATCCTGCTCCCCCTCACCTTCCCCCCCCCACACACCCTTTATCCCCTTTCCCAACAGGGTAAGTTCTCCCATCTGGGGACAGCTAAGCCTGGTACATTCAGTTAAGGTAGGACCAAGCCCCTCTCCGCTTTCTCGGGGTGAGCAAGGTGTCCCACCATAGGTAATGTACCAGGGATAGATCCTGATCACATCGGCCCCTCAAACAGACCCAGCTACACAACTGTCTGCCGTATGCAGAGGGTCTAGTCCGGTGCCATGCAGGTTCCACAGCTGTGGGTCTAAAGTTTGTGAGTTCCTTTGAGCTTGGTTCAGTTGTCTCTGTAGATTTCTCCATCATGGTCTTGACCCGCCTCCGTTGCTCATAGAATCCCTCTTCCCTCTCTTCAGCTGGACTCCCAGAGCTCAGCCTGGGGCATGGTTATGGATCTCTGCCTCTGCTTCCATCAGTTACTGGATGAAGGCTCTATGATGACAGTTAGGGTATTCACCAATCTGATTACAGGGGAGGCCAGTTCAGGCATCCTCGCCACTGTTGCTAGTAGGCTAATCTGGGATCATCCTTGTGGATTTCTGGGAATTTCTCTAGCACCAGGTTTCTCCCTAACCCCATAATGTCTCCCTCTATCAAGATATCTCTTTCATTGCTCTCCCACTCTGTCCCTCCCCTAGCTCGACCATCCTGTTCCCTTATGTTCTCATCTCCCCTCCCCTCCCCTCTATTGCCCCGCCTCATCCCCAGTTTATTCATGGGGATCTCCTCTGTTTCCCCTTCCCAAGGTGATCCATACATCCCTCTTAGGATCCTCCTTGTTTCCTAGCTTCTCTGGAGCTGTGGGTTGTAGTCTGATTATCTTACTTACCTACTTATGAGTGAGAACATACCATGTTTGTCTTTCTGAGTCTGGGTTACCTCATTCAGGATGATATTTTCTAGTTCCATCCATTTGCCTGCAAATTTCATGATATCATTTTTTTTTTTTTTTTACAGCTGAGTAATACTCCATCGTGTAAATGTGCCACATTTTTTTTTTTTTATCCATTCCTTGGTTTGAGGGGCATCTAGGTTGTTTCCATGTTCTGGCTATTAGGAATAATGCTGCTATGAACATTGTTGAGCAAGTGTCCTTGTGGTATGATTGAGCATCCCTTGGGTATATGCTCAAGAGTGATGTCATTGGGTCTTGGGGTAGATTGATTCCCAATTTTCTGAGAAACTGCCATACTGATTTCCAAAGTGGCTGTACAAGTTTACATTCCCACCAACAGTGGAGGAGTGTTCCCCTTATTCCACATCCTCTCCAACATAATCTGTCATCAGTGTTTTTGATCTTAGCCATTCTGACAGGTGTAAGATGGTATCTCAGAGTCATTTTGATTTGCACTTCCCTGATGACTAAGGATGTTGAACAATTCCTTAAATGTCTTTTGGCTATTTGGGATTCTTCTGTTGAGAATTCTCAATTCTCCATGTTTAGATCTGTACCCCTCTTTTTAATGGGATTGTTTCTTGAGTTCTTTATATATTTTGGAGATCAACCCTCTGTCAGATCTGGGATTGGTGAAGATTTTTTTCCCATTCTGTAGGCTGTCGTTTTGTCTTATTTACTGTGACCTTTGCCTTACAGAAGCTTCTCATTTTCAGGAGGTCCCATTTATTAATTGTTGCTCTCAGTGTTTGTGCTACTGGTGTTATATTTAGGAAGTGGTCTCCTGTGCCAATGCATTCAAGGCTACTTCCTACTTTCTCCTTTATCAGGTTCAGTGTAACTGGATTTATGTTGAGGTCTTTGATCCACTTGGATTTGAGTTTTGTGAATGGTGATAGATATGGGTTTATTTGCATTCTTCTACATGTTGATATCCAGTTATGCCAGCACTATTTGTTGAAGATGCTTTCTTTTTTCCATTGTACACTTTTTGGCTCCTTTGTCAAAAATCAGGTGTTCATAGGTGTGTGGATTAGTGTCAGGATGTTCAATTCGATGCCATTGGTCCACGTGTCAGTTTTTATGCCAGTACCAAGCTGTTTTTATTACTATAGCTCTATAGTAGAGCTTGAAGTCAGAGATGGTGAGGCCTCCAGAAGTTGCTGTATTATAAAGGATTGTTTTAGATATCCTGGGTTTTCTGTTTTTCCATATTGTTGTTTTTTGTTGAAGTTGAGTATTGTTCTTTCGAGGTCTGTGAAGAATTGTGTTGGGATTTTAATGGAGAGTGCATTGAATCTGTAGATTGCTTTTGGTAAGATTGCCATTTTTATTATGTTGGTTCTACCTATCCATGAGTATGGGAGATTTATTCATTTTCTGATATCTTCTTCAATTTCTTTCTTCAAGGACTTAAAGTTCTTGTCATACAGGTCTTTCAGTTGTTTGGTTAGAGTTATCCCAAGATATTTTATGTTATTTGTGGCTATTGTAAAGGGTGATGTTTCTCTGATTTCTTTCTTGGCCCGTTTATCATTTGTGTATAGGGGGACTATTGATTTTTTGAGTTAATCTTGTATCCTGCCACATTGCTGAAGGTGTTTATCAGCTGTAAGAGTTCCCTGATAGAATTTTTGGGGTCACTTATGTATACTATCATATCATCTGCAAATAGCAAAAGTTTGACTTCTTCCATTCCAATTTGTATCCCCTTGATATTCTTTTGCTGTCTTACTGCTCTGGCTAGAACTTTGAGTACTATATTGAGTGTATATGGAGAGAATGACAGCCTTGTCTTGTTCCTGTTTTTAGTGGAATCGGTTTGAGTTTCTTTCCGCTTAATTTGATGTTGGCTGTCAGCTTGCTGAATATTGTCTTTATTATGTTTAGGTATGTTCCTTGTATTTTGATCTCTCCTAGACCTTTATCATGAAGGGGTGTTGGATTTTGTCAAAGGCTTTTTCAGCATCTAATAAGATGATCATGTGGTGTTTTTCTTTCAGCTTGCTTATATGGTTGATTACATTGAAAAATTTTTGGATGTTGAACCATCTCTACATCTCTGGGATGAAGCCTACTTGATCATGATAGATGATTTGTGTGTGTGTTTGGATTCAGTTTGTCAGTATTTTATTGAGTATTTTTGCATCAATGTTCATGAGGAAGACTGGTCTGTAATTCTTTCTTGTTGTTGCATCTTTGTGTGGTTTGGGTGTCAGGGTAACTGTAGCCTCATAGAAAGAATTTGGCAATGTTCCTTCTGTTTCTATTGTGTGGAACAATTTGAGGAGTATTGGTATTAGCTCTTTGAAATTCTGGTAGAATTCTGTGCTGAAACCTTCTGGCCCTGGGCTTTTTTTGGTTGGGAGACTTTTAATGACTGCTTCTATTTCTGTAAGAGTTATAGGACTTTAAATTGTTTGTCTAGTCTTGATTTAATTGGGGTATATGGTACCTATCCAGAAATTTGTCCATTTCTTTAAGATTTTCCAGTTTTGTGAAGTATAGGTTTTTGAAGTATAACCTGGATTTCCTCATTGTCAGTTGTTATGTCTCCCTTTTCATTTCTGATTTTTTTTTTAATTTGGATATTTTCTCTCTACCTTTTGGTTAGTTTGGATAAGGGTTTGTCTATCTTGTTGATTTTCTCAAAGAACCAATTTTTTGTTTCATTGATTCTTTGTATTGTTCTTGTTTCTATTTTATTTATTTCAGCCCTTAGTTTGATTATTTTCTGGTGTCTATTCCTCCTGGGTGAGTTTGTTTCTTTTTGTTCTAGAGCTTTCAGGTGTGCTGTTAAGTTGCTAGTGTGAGATTTCTCCAACTTCTTTATGTAGACACTTAGTGCTATGAACTTTCCTCTTAGTACTGCTTTCATAGTGTCCCATATGTTTGGGTACATTGTGCATTCATTTTCGTTGAATTCTAGGAAGTCCTTAATTTCTTTATTATTTCTTTCTTGACCCAGTGATGAGTCAGTTGAGTGTTGTTCAGTTTCCATGAGTTTGTAGGCTTGCTGTAATTTGTATTGTTGTTGAATTCTATCTTTAAGGCATGGTGGTCTGATAAAATATAGGAGGTTATCCCAATTTTTTTTTGTATTTGTTAAGATTTGCTCTGTGACCAAGTATGGGATCAATTTTAGAGAAGGTTTCATGAAGTGCTGAGAAGAAGGTATATTCTTTTGTGTTAGAGTGGAATATTCTGCAGATAGCTATTAAGTCCATTTGAGTCATAACCATCTGTTAGTTTCCTTATTTCTCTGTTAACTTTCTGTCTGGCAGCCCTGTCCATTGGTAAGAGTGGGGAGTTGAAGTCTCCTGCTATTAGTGTGTGGGGTTTGATGTGTGATTTAAGCTTTAGTAATGTTTCTTTTACAATGTGAGTGCCCTTTGGAGCATAAATTTTCAGAATTGAGACTTCATCTTGATGGATTTTTCCTGTGATGAATATGTAATGTCCTTCTTGATCTCTTTTTAATTTTAGTTTGAAGTCTATTTTGTTAGATATTAGGATAGCTACAACAGCTTGCTTCTTAGGTCCATTTGACTGGAAAGACTTTTCCCAGCCCTTTACCCAACACTGAGATAGTGTCTGTCTTTGAAGTTGAGGTGTGTTTCTTGTATGCAGCAAATGGATGGATCTTGTTTTTATATCCATTCTGTTAGCCTATGTCTTTATGGGTGTTTGAGTCCATTGATATTAAGGAATATTAATGATCAGTGATTGTTAATTCCTGTTATTTTTTGGTGGTAGTGTTGTGTGTTTCCCTTCTTTAGGATTTGTTGGGTGTGGGATTATCTATTGCCTGTGTTTTCATGGGTGCATCTAATTTCCTTGGGTTGGATTTTTCCTTCTAGTGCTTTCTGTAGGGCTGGATTTGTGGATAGGTATTGTTTAAATCTGGTTTTATCATGGAATATTTTGTTTACTTTGTATATGGCAATTGAGAGTTTTGCTGGGTATAATAGTCTGGGCTGGCATCCATGGTCTCTTAGTGTCTGCATAATGTCTGTCCAGGACCTTCTGGCTTTCAGAGTCTCCACTGAGAAGTCAAGTGTTATTCTGATAGGTCTGCCTTAATTTGTTACTTGGCCTTTTTCCTTTGCAGCTCTTAATATTTTTTCTTTGTATGTTTAGTGGTTTGATTATTATGTTGTGAGGGAACTTATTTTTTAGGTCCAGTCTGTAACCTTCTTGTATCTTCATAGACATTTCATTCTTTAGGTTGGGAATGTTTTCTTCTGTGATTTTGTTGAATATATTTTCTGTGCCGTTGAGTTGGTATTCTCCTTCTTCTATCCCTATTATTCTTAGGTTTGGCTTTTTCATGGTGTCCCAGATTTCCTGGACGTTTTGTGTTATGACTTTTTTGTCTTTAGTATATTTTCTGACTAACAATCTATTTCCTCTATTGTATCCTCCATGCCAAAGATTCTCTCTTCCATCTCTTGTGTTCTGTTGGTTATAAGCATAACCAACATCACTAGTTCCTGTTTGTTTACTCAAATTTTCTATTTCCAGCATTTCCTTGGTTTGTGTCTTCTTCATTGTTTCTATTTCAATTTTCAGGTTTTGAACTGTTTCCTTCACCCATTTAATTGCTTTTTCTTGGCTTTCTTTAAGGAATTTTTTGCTTTCTTCCAATTTTTTGTCTTTTCCTCAATTTCTTTAAGGGAATTTTTTATTTCCTCTTTAAAGGCCTCTATCATCTTCTTAAAGCCAATTTTAAGGTCCTTTTCTTCTGCTTTTCCTACATTGGGATGTTCAGGTCCTCCTGATGTAGGACCACTAGGTTCTGGTGGTGCCATATTGCTCTTACGTTGTTGAATGTTTTCTTGCATTGGCGTCTACCCATCTCTTCCTCCAGTTTGTGCCAACAGTGTCTGTGTCTCAGGAGCCATTCTTGGTACAATCGGAGCTCTTGGTCCAGTCGGAGCTGGTGGAGTCTGTGTCTCAGGGAGCAGCTGAGGTCTCTTGGTCCAGTCGGAGCTGGTGGAGTCTGTGTCTCAGGGAGCAGCTGAGGTCTCTTGGTCCAATTGGAGCTGGTGGAGTCTTGTCTCAGGGAGCAGCTGAGGTCTCTTGGTCTAATTGGAGCTGGTGGAGTCTTGTCTCAGGGAGCAGCTGAGGTCTCTTGGTCCAGTTGGAGCTCTTGGTCCAATCGGAGCTGGCAGAGTCTGTGTCTCAGGGAGCAGCTGTGGTCTCGGAGGATAGGTGGGTTTGGGGGGTGGATTGGGCCTTTTAGGTTACAGGGTCCGGTGTGGGGGGGAGTGGATAGTCAGGCCTGCCTGCTGGGGCTGCAGTTGGTGGGGTATGGGGGCACTAGTTGTGCCCCTGAGCCTAAAGCCTAGATGCTGGGGTGATTGCCTAGGAGAACAAAGACTCACCTCCTGGTCCAGTCGGAGCTGGCGGAGTCTGTCCTGGTTCACTTCTTGCTGTCTTGGTTTCCTCCTCTGTAAGATTTGTCCCTGGGTATCTGGGAATTCCTGGAGAGCTCTCAGGCAAGTGCTTGCTTTGTGACAGGTGCACATGTTAGTGGATCACATTCTGAATATAGAAGACAATTCAGACGTTCAGCAGTAGTCTATTTACTGAAACGTTCAAGTACCAATTTCAATTTTAAATACATGGGGTGTGATCAGAGTTTTCCTTTCTTAACATTCCTTACCAGTCACTGTCGCCACACGGAGTGTTGTGATTTTTTTTCAGTTTTTGTTACTGAAAATGCTGCTTTGTTGACATGGCTTTTCCTCTGTCTCAACAGAAGCCCTGTTTTCTATTACTCTTCGGGTACTGTGTTAGGTGTTCTGATGACGCTAGTCTTTGTCCTTCTGATGTTGAGGAGACACATTCCAAAGGTAGGTATCTTATATGCAAATTAGTGAAAATGAGAACCAAACTTAAAAAGTTAATCAAAATTAATTCATATTGTGATACTTCCTAATTCAGCTGTGCTCCTTTGCTGTGTAAATTGACCTTAACGTGTGTCTGTTTCTGAAAAGTCAGTTTGTGCTTATTAGTGATATATAGGACTATGTTGTTTGGTGATATTTTTGGTACCCTTTTATGAATTGTATCATGAGAGAGTGATCCTGAGTCTTTGGAGCATTACATAATAGCGCCACATCTGGGTTTTTTATTCTTGTTGTTTCTTCTCTATTCCTTCAATAAAATAATGTATAAAGCAGGTGGAGGGGGAAACTGTGGTTGTTATGTAAAAGAAATATAAAAGTTAATAATAAAAAATATTCCAAAAAAATAATGTCCCAAAGAAGAAATAAATATTAATTCATGATTGTAACTTTGTGGTTACTCTGATTAAAGCTCTAAATACCACATTGTTTTTTAGATAATTTTATATTTTAGTAGTGCTCTCCAGCTTTAATGTACACGTTAGCGTGTTAAGATGTAGATTCTGGTCTAGCAGTGGGACCCAAGTCTACATGCCATTAAGCTCCTGTATGAAAACGACTCTCCTCTGAGGACCATACCATACCTTGAACATGAGACTCAGAGAGTATTAGATAAGTACTTTTACGTGACCTAGATGTTTCCAGAACAAAGAATTTGTTTGTTTGCTTCTACTTTTATGAGAGTGAATGAACCAAAATATATTATATGTATTTTGTGTCGTTTATTTTCTTCCACACACAGCATAGCACATTTGGGGCGCTAATGGTTGGTTGCTGGTTTGCTTCAGCTTATGCTGTGTGCCGGGTGATGGAGGATCTGAAGTGGCTGTGGTGTGGACACAGAGTGTATGCGTTAGGTAGGTGAACACAGAAGAACCCTCCATTGGCCAGGCTGAAAAGTACAAGCAGAGGATCTCTGACACGTTTCTCTCATATACATTCTCGTTTGGTTTAAGGAGAGGTGCAATCAAAAATAGTATTTTATTTCATTCCCATAGTTGGCATTTTAGTTCACTTGGATCCCATTTTAAACTCTTTCCCTTTTCAAACTTCCTTAGTTTTCTGTACAAATCATCAAAAGAGTAAAAATGCTTCAGAATTGTGGCCGAACTCTAGCCACATCTAGGCTGCAACGTAAATGCTCTAAGAGATGGCTTCTGGGGGTGTAACTAATGAGAACTTGACTTTTCAGAAACAGAGGATAGAATTACTATTTAATCCCCTTGTTGTATGTTACAAAAATTATTTGATTTTGTTAGGAAATAATGGGAATTGGAGCCTCATCAACATCAGATTCCACGTATAAGGTCAATGTTGCTAAAATAAAAGCAACTCATTCTTAAACACTATTTTTAGCCTACTTTCCTATTATATTAAAGTAGTTATTATTTACTCATAACATGGAATATTCCTGTAAGTTCTTTACCCTTTGTCTCCAAACAACAAGAACATTTTCCTGTATAACCAAATAACTATTCACTACTATTGTTAATGCTAGCAGTTGTCCCGGGGTGGCATGTATACTCGCCATCTGTTGTACCACTGAGTTATATCCTTAACCTCACTAGTAAATGTTAAAGATTAATAATTGCATAGAATCACCTATTGCCCGGGTCACATTAAGATTTTGAGTTAACCCTTGCTGCCTGACTGCGTAACCCAGACATCGTGCTGAACCTCCAAAGCACCTGCTAGGCTGGGTAACTCTCGATCCATCATGGCTTATTTCATCACAGAGGCATCCTGAGAAAGGTCCACTCTCTGGATTTTTGTGGTGCCCATTTTGTGGCATCATTTAACGTGTTCATTTCTCTTCCGGATCGACTGCAAATAAGAAATTGAATCTCAAGGTTTGCTTTGAAACAAATTAAGCACTTGTGTTGGGAATCATTGGAAGTGATGTGCACTTCCCATCTGATGGCACCGGACCCTAGTGTGTCACACCATTGACACCATTAGTAACCATGGGCTGCAAGGATGGCTACCTGATCGCTCCATTGTTAAATGACGTTCTCCTTGGGTGACTAGAAGATAAACATTAAAAATGGGTTTATAGCAACGTGTGAAATCCACTGGCTTACTTTTGCCCAAGCAACCAGGAATCATTTGTCCGCTCAGGACATTGGACTTAGAAAGACATGACTATATATTACCGTAATTATCAGTGTATACCTTAAGTTATTACAATTTAAGAACTGCTCAGTGGTTTAGAGTGCTCTTCCACAGGCCTGGAGTTTGCTTCCAGGACTTAGATTGGTTAGCTTGCAGCTGCCCGTAGTCCAGTTCTAGGGTATTGACCTCTTCTTCTGGCTTTGCGGGTACCACATGCACATGTGTACATACAGATGGATAATTATAATACATCTTTAAAAGTCAGCCTGTGAGCTCAAGTACAAGGACTAATGAGCTGTAGGTGCTTTTTCCAACCTTCATTGGGAAAAGGAAATATTTTTTGTTTTCTTAATTTTTTAAATTAAGGTTTTTTGGTAGATGTTATTTTTTAGTCAAGGCGCTGCCAGACTTTCCACATCAGTTCTCAAGTTCAGGTAAATTGTTGTCCTTCTTCATTTCCAGGCTATGTCTTGGTTGTGGGACTGTCTAGCTTTGCCGCCTGTTACAGGCATGGGCCTCTCACTGATGAGTGGAGCAGAGGCCTTCTGATGTGGACACTGCGGTTCTTCTCCCTGGTCCTGATCTACGCTGGTGTGGCCGTGCCTCAGTTTGCCTATGCCGTTATGGTCCTCCTCCTGTTCTCCTGGAGTCTGTGCTACCCACTGAGAGCACTGGGCTATCTGAGGTGGTGAGTATCTTTCCATTGCTACCAACTCTGACATTTTGAGTTTTGGTTTTATTTATTGTTTGGAGAGATACTTTGGTTACACCTTACAGGTAATTATATTTAATCTGGAAGGTTCACTCTGAGGGAACAGAGGAAAAAGAGCGCTAAGCATCTGCTCCCATCTCCACTGACTTGTAACCCCAACTACTCGGTAGTTAGAGCTCACGAAAATCAGCGGCAAAACTGCTTGGGCTCTGGGTTGCCTAAAATGTCTACCTTTATCATACATTTCTTTTCATTAGAACCAAGATTGCTATAGTAATACTAATTGTGCTCATGAGATAAGCATTAGGAGAAAATGTATCATAAACGATTGGAAGGAGTTATTCATTTCATTTTATTACAGGTTGTGGTGGTATTGTGTTCCCCAAAATATTGTGTACTCTAAAAAACTTATCTGGGGTCAGAGAACAGACAGCCACTAGATACAAAGGCTAGAAAATGGTGGCACTCACACCTTTAATCCTAGCATTCCAGAGATAGAAATCCCTCTGGAT